CAAAAAGCTAGAAAGATCTTAAATTGACACCCTGACATCACAACCAAAAGAACTAGAGAACAAAGAGCAAACAAACTCCAAAGCTAGCAGAAGGCAAGAAATAACCAAGCTCAGAGCAGAACTGAAGGAGATTGAGAAAAAAAAATTCCATCAAAAAAAATCAATGAATCAGGATCTGTTTTTTTTTTGAAAAATTAATGAAATAGCTAGGCCACTATCTAGACTAATAAAGAAGATGAGAGAGAATAATCAAATGGACACAATAAAAAATGACAAAGGAGATATCACCCCACAGAAATACGAACTACCATCAGAGAATACTATAAACACCTCTACACAAATAAACTAGAAAATCTAGAAGAAACTAATAAATTCCTGAACACATACATCCTCCCAAGACTGAACCAGGAAGAAGCTGAATCTTTGAATACACCGATAATGAATTCTGAAATTGAGGCAGTAATACTGAGCCTACCAACCAAAAAAAAAAAAAAAAAAAAAAAGCCCACATGGATTTACAGCTGAATTCTACCAGAGGGACAAAGAGGAGATGGTACTATTTCTTCTGAAACTAGTCCAAACAATTGAAAAGGAGGTACTTCTCTCTAACTCATTTCATGAGGCCAGCATTATCCTGATACCAAAACCAGGCAGAGTTATAACCAAAAAAATAAAACTTCAGGCCAATATCCCTGATTAACATTTATGCAAAAATCCTCCATAAGATACTAGCAAACTGAGTCCAGTAACATATTTAAAAGCTTATCGCCACATCAAGTTGGTTTCATCCCCAGATGCAAGGCTGGTTTAACATATGCAAATCAATAAATGCAATTCATTACATCAAACAGAACTAAAGACAAAAACCACATGATTATCTCAAAAAGGCTTTCAATAAAATTTAACATCACTTCTTGTTAAAAAAGCTCTCAATAAACTAAGTATCTAGGGAACATACCTCAAAATAATCAGCCATTTACAGCAAACCCACAGCCACTATCTCACTGAATGGGTAAAAGCTGGAAGCACTCCCTCTGAAAACTGACACAAGACAAGGGTGCCCTCTCTCACCACTCCTATTCAACATAGTATTGGAAATTCTGGCCAGGACAATGAGGCAAGAGAAAGAAATAGAGGGTATTCAAATAGGAAGGGAGGAAATTAAATTGTCTTTGTTTGCAGATGACATAATCCTATATCTAGAAAACACCATCATCTCAGCCCAAAAGCCCCTTATTGCTGATAAGTGACTTTAGCAAAGTTTCAGGATACAAATTTAATGTGCAAAAGTCACAAGCATTCCTATACATCAACAGACAAGCAGAGAGCCAGATCATGAATGAACTCCCATTCACAATTGCTACAAAGAGAATAAAATACTTAGGAATACAGCTAGCAAGGGATGTGAAGGACTTCTTCAAAGAGAACTACAAATGACTGCTCAAGGAAATCAGGACATGAACGAATGAAAAAACATTCCATGCTCATGGATAGGAAGAACAAATATAATGAAAATGACCATACTGCCCAAAGTAATTAATAGATTCAATGTAATTCCCATTAAACTACCATTGACATTCTTCACAGAATTAGAAAAAACTATTTAAAACTCCATATGGAACCAAAAAAGAGCCCAATAGCCAAGACAATTCTAAGCCAAAAGAGCAAAGCTGAAGGCATCACACTACCTGACTTCAAACAGTACTATAAAATTGCAATAACCAAAACAGCATGGTACTGGTACCAAAAAAAAAAAAAAAAAAAGATTCATAGACCAATGGAACAGAATAGAGAGCTCAGAAATAAGACTGCACATCTACAACAATCTGATCTTTGATAAATCAGACAAAAACAAGCAATGGGGAGAGGATTTCCTATTTAATATATGGTGCTGGGAAAACTGACTAGCCATATGCAGAAAATTGAAACTGGACCTCTTCCTTACATCTTATATAAAAAGCACTGGGGGAAAACAGCTTAACTCAAGATGGATTAAAGATTTAAATGTAAAACCCAAAACAATAAAAACGCTGGAAGAAAGTCTAGGCAACACCATTCAGGACATAGGCATGGGTAAAGATTTTCTGATGAAAAGGCAAAAGCAATTGTAACAAAAGCAAAAAATGACAAATGGGATCTAATTAAACTAAAGAGCTTCTTCACAGCAAAAGAAACTATCATCAGAGCAAACAGACAACCTATAGAATGGGAGAAAACTTTTGCAATCTAGCCATCTGATAAAAGTCTAATATCCAGAGTCTATAAGAAACTTAAACAGATTTACAAGAAAAAACAGAACAGTCCCATTAAAAAGTAGGCAAAGGACATGAATAGACACTTCTTAAAAGAAGACATTCATGTGGCCAACAAACATGAAAAAAAGCTCAACATTACTGGTCATCAGAGAAATACAAATCAAAACTACAATGAGATACCATCTTATGCCATTCATAATGGTGATTATTAAAAAGTTAGGAAAGAAAAGATCCTGGTGAGGCTGCAGATAGGAAGGCTTTTACACTGGTGGTGGGAATGTAAATTACTTTAATCATTGTGGAAGACAGTGTGGCATTCCTCAGAGACCTAAAAACAGAAATATCATTTGACCCACCAATCCCACTACAGGGTATATACTCAAAGGAATATAAATAATTCTGTTATCAAGATACATGCACATATATGTTCATTGAAGCACAGTAGCAAAGACATGGAATCAACCCAAATGCCCATCAATGATAGATTGAATAAAGAAAATGTGGTACATATACACCATGAAATACTGTGCAGTCATAAAAAGGAATGACATCCTGTCTTTTGCAGGGACATAGATGGAGCTGGAAGCCATTATCTTCAACAAACTAACACAAGAACAGAAAACCAAACACTGCATGTTCTCACTTATAAATGGGAGCTGAACAATGAGAAGACATGGACACAGGGTGGAGAACCACACACATTGGGGCCTGTTGGGGCCAGGAAGCAGAGGAGGGAGAGCACTGGGAAAAACAGCTAATGCATGCTGGGATTAATACTCAGGTGATGGTTGATAGCTACAGCAAACCACCATGTCACATAATTTCCTATGTAACAAACCTGCACACATGTACTCAGCAACTTAATATAAAATAAAATTTTTTTTTAAAGTGAAAAACAAAATAGTGTGGGATGTCATTATTAAAGAAATCCAGGAAAGACTTAGCTGTATTAACTATGTCAGAATAGGATTGTTGAATGAATGAGTGAAAGAATGAATGAAGGAGTTATTAGCTCTATCCTAATCTTCAGTTACACTCTATACCCAGAGTAGCAATATTTATTTAGTGCAGGATCCATATTTTTAGAGCATATTGACACATTAGTTTATTCAGAGGAAACTGACGAGATGGTGATGGGACTTGAAACCACATTCCAACAAGTGGTGGTAGAGGACTGGTAATATTTAATTTAAGAAAGAAAAGACTTAGGCAAAAAATGCTAAATGCCAAGAGTTACTGAGTGTATACTCTAGGTCAGGCATTGTGTACAGCCTTTTAATAGATTTCACATATTATGGTTAATAATGGAAAGGAAACATTTTCTTTTGAGTTTTCCTGGAAGGCAGGACTAACAGTAGTCAGTGGAAATGGCAGAAAGATTATTCTGCTTATTAGAATGATGGCATTTCTAGTCTCAAAGCTGCCCAACAATAGAAAGAGCTGCTTGGATTTAATGATTTCCATATTTTTGGAGGTGTGCAAGCAGAGATTGGTGAAACTTTTCATGGACATATTTTAGAGAGGAATGAGTATTAAATGGAGGTATGGGCCAGGTGAACACTAAGACTTTTTTCAACCTTATTTTGTGAATCTATCGTCTTACAGTACAGCAATTCCATTTTTGGCTCCTAGTTCTGTGTCTTGAGCCTTCAATGGTCAATGTTACTTCTAATTTAGTAGTTCAGTTGTAGTGGATTCTGGTTTGCATTTCCTCCTGGCAACTAAGACAAAACCCAACAGAACTCAAAAGTCTCAGGGATGGGACACAGATATTTTGTGAGTCCATCATTAGGTATAATGGCAAAAACAGCCTCTCACTTTCTCATACCATCTCTAAACTCACGTACTCCTCATCTGAGAGAAATAGCACCAAATATTTAGATTGCTTTTTCAAAACATTGTAAATTTTTATTCTTGGTTTGAAAGCTTCACATGTGAATAGCATTTATTTTTGTCTTTGTATTTAAATGCAGTTATTTATGTTTCTAAAATTCCCTCTGATTGCATTCTTATTTTGAGCTTTGTTATCGTTAGAGTGCACTGTGATCATCCACCCACCTATGCTTTTATGGCAATTAACATCGCACCTTAAAAATTGATTCTTAGTTGGGTGCCATGGTATGTGGCTTTAGTCCCAACTACTAGGGAGGCTGAGGCAGGAGGTTAGCTTGAGCTCAGGAGTTCAAGACCAGTCTGGGGAACATAGTGAGACTCTGTTTCTAAAAAAGAAAAACAAACAAACAAAACACCTTGTTCTTATGAATGGGTAAAGAAAACATGTTCATTTAAAACAACCAAAGAACAATGAAGTTTTATAAATATAAAAAATTAAATATCATATATTAACAGATGAGAAATTCAAGCTCAGAGAGATTGAATGATTTGTCATAGTCACATGGCTAGTGGGAAATTTGAATTCTTGTCTTACTTCTTTTTTCCACCCACTTACTGAGGCAATTATGTTCTATATTCTTAGTAAGATCTTTTTCTTCTCCTTTGCCCTCTTTTCCTCCTTCTCCCCTTCTCTTTCCCTTTCTTCAACTCTTCATCCTCCTAGCATGTAGAATATTCTTATACCAGTTACTCATATCTTTACTTACAGCCTGATTGGCATGTGACCAGCACAGACAGTATCTGAGTAAGGTTCCCAAATAGTCTTTTCTTTACCTGTATCGTTAGTCAGGTAGGCAAGAGTTCTAAGGAATCTTGTGTTTTTAATTCTGAGTTGCTTTTGGATCTCTGCAGTGCCGCGTATGATGCTGTCCTTGACAGAAATGTGGCCATTAAGAAGCTCAGCAGACCCTTTCAGAACCAAACACATGCCAAGAGAGCATACCGGGAGCTGGTCCTCATGAAGTGTGTGAACCATAAAAACGTGAGTTTTGTTATTTTTAAATTTTTGGCAGTGGAAGTTTGTGAGACTGGAAAAAGAAAACGTGTCTGTACTTGAGTAAGAAAGGCTTTCTTTCTTTCCTTTGCAATTCCTGCCTCTTAAGTGTTTATCCTGCCAATATGCTACATTTGGTTTCCTTGTCCTCATGGTAGCTTTCTGCTTAAAAATCACCTAAAAACCATGTGAGGTGGAAGTGATGAATTTTATAAATATTTCCTTAGTTAGAAAATTTACCGTATTTGGTTATCTTACTCCAAATTGAGAGTTTCATGCTTTCCAAGAAAGAAACAAGAGAAACAAAACCAAAAAAAAAAAAAAAAAAAAAACCTACAAAGCACCATGCTACATTTCTTTATAATTTAGATTTAATTGCTAACAGTTGAGTTTTATTCATGTTACCTCCTTTTTGTTTCAGCTGTAGTCTAGTAGTAGCCTCCAATTGTTCAGTGAATCCACTCTGTGTTGGCATTGTTTATTTCAGGGCTGGGCAAATATGCAAGTACATATTTGCAAAGCACTTGAGAACAGGATCAAGAGTTTTTTTTCATTGAAACTCAGCTGGGTAGACCATTAAAGGACTTTCTACACTTCAGAATCTAGGCTCCTTCAATCACGGGCCGAGACCTCTAGAATTCTTTCTGTGCTCCACTTCTTCTTAGTAAAAATAAATAGGAGATAATTTATTATTTTAAAATAAATAAATTATAATAAATATATTGAATACAGTTTACATATAAATATATAATAATAAATTATAAATTATTATAAATGAAATTTTATTTTCTTAAAAATTAAAAAAATAATTTTATTATAAGTAAAATCATTGTAAAGTATAATAGCTATAATAACTTCCTACAGAGTTCTCACATTACCAGTGTGGCTTTATAAACCATGGATCTTGTCCTAGTGCTAGCCATCTACCAGTGGCACTGAGAAGACACAAATGTATTAGTATTAAGTTGAAAGATATTTGAAAGGCAAATACGCAGATTCAGGCCCCAATTCTCTTTTCCTCTATTACTCTACCCTGATAATTTTTAAATTCAGTCTTTTGACATGTACGTGTTGAATGAATAAAATGTGCCAGGCACAGATCTAGATGGTCTGGATGTTGATACAGCAGTGAAAAAAACAGACAAATCCCCACCCATGTGGAACTCATGGTCTAGTGGCAAGAACAAGGAGGTCCACAATAAGATAGATCAATATGTAAAATGTCAGGTGAAGGTAAGTTCTATTAAGTTAAGCAAAGCAAAGCAAAGAAGGAAGATTTTAAAATGCTGGTCAGTGTGTGGTGGGGTAGGTTTGTCCTTTAAATAGGCTGAGCAGCAAACCTCACTAAGAAATGAAAATTTTATGAACTGCACACCCACAATTAATATGGCCATGCAACAAACATGAGACTTCTAGAAAGGAATACAGAAATAATAGAAAGGGTTATATACTAAAGTAATTTGTTCTTTCAGTATGTTAAATAAAGGTAAGGGCAAGATTAGCCGCATGATCAATACAATACATTCTGTTATACCAAAGAGAATGGAACATAACATGGGCAATGGAAAATGAATTGATACAAGCGATGGAAAACTTTCCATATGATTAATTCGTCCTCATTCCAGACCCTGTAATGCAATACAGTGTGGAGAAATACCCACTTACTTGGCCAGTTTGAGAGAATAATATTTCCCATTCTAGACTGCAATGTTGGAGACTCATATTTAGGAAGCCTAAAAAGGAGTTCCAGATTGCAGTGATAGTTTATAAATAGCATCCCACCTGCTACCTTCCTTTTATGTGTGTATGGATGTATGCAGAAGTCTACAGAAACACATTTCTGGAATGTTTTATGAAAAGGAAATTCACTTACAACCAAGTGTAAATTCCACATTAATAAGAACGTAGAACTCAGTTAATACTGTGGAAAGCAAAGGAAGGGTAAAGTAATCCCATTAATCTTTAATAATAGTGAAGAAAACCTGTTTAGAAAATACTTCCTTATGATGTTAATTTGGTCCCGTTATCTGTATTTCTCATCAGCTGACAATTAGATTAGAATTCTTATTTTAAAAATATAAAATAAATACTCAATTCTAGGAACTAGTGATTGTGAGACCTGACAAACATGGATTCACATCTGTGTGTCTCAAGGTGCTAGGATAAAAGAACTTAGATTCCTATCTGGAAACTGTTGAATTAAAATGGAAATAGCTGTGATAATCTCCTTCTAAATACGCATGTTTTAAATTGGCTATTGGTAGGAATTAAAATTTATAAAAGAGCGAAGGAAGGATAGAGGATAAATTCTCAAAGGGTAAAAAGTGAGAAAACAAGGTCATAGGAAATGGGAAAATAAGAACCTATAGTAGGGAATAGACCTTGAAAAATTACATTTTAGGACAATAAATCTTGATTTATTTAAAATTATAATGCTATTTTCTAGGTTTTTTTAGATTATCTAGATTATTTGTTCACCAGGTGATCTGGGTTAGCATTTTTCCATTTTTAAGGAGTGCTCATGTGAATGTTTGTGTGGGTGTAATGTGCGCTCTATACACAATCTCCAATGTTTTTATTTGAACAAATATCAAAATGAAATAAATTACTGTATGAGATTGATAAAGTCCTTAAGAAATGGACCCACTGTAGATGTTCCAGTGAAAGGTGGACTTCATAGGTATTTTTCAACAGTCACTGGCACTGAGATACTATGAGAATACAGAATAACATGGCCCTTTAATAGCAAGTTTTAAAGATAATTTTAAAATAATTATATTTCTGTATGAATATTCCACACTACAAGTTTGCTTTAGAAGAGCTAATCGTTTTATTTTTAAATATGGAATGCTTCACGAATTTGCGTGTCACTATATTACAACTATTGCTATAAATATGTATACTAGAAAATATTTGATGGTACTGTGATTTTTTTTGTCAATAATTTCTCAACAAGTTAAAACTACTTGAGGCATAAAACATTCCATAGAATTGAGTCAATTTTTTCAGCTGTTTAAACTAATTTTGTTTTGTGTTTATTACTCTATCTGTTTTTATATCATTTATAAAGTTTACTGAAAGTCATTGATTGGTGCTTTGAAGCTGCTTTTATCTTGATCTTGTACTTATCCAGTTTTTATAAAATAGTTGCAACTATATTGTGAGTATAAGGTTGTTATCTATATGTTTTTATTTTCATTTCCTACTGGTATGTTAATACAGAATATTTAGTTGGAAGCACATTTTGAGTTATTGATGTATGCAATCTATTTGGAAATGTGACAAAGTTGTTTTTAAAAAATTTGCTTATGCTAGAAGGTAAATTTCTTTGCTAGCTAATATATAAAATAAAGTATGAAACAAAAAACTTCTAACTGAATTTAGATAACTTTTAAATAATTTTCTATTAAAGTCATCATTGGTATCTTCTAGAATGCATCTTTCCCCACACATATTATTGGATCATTAGTTTAAGTAATATTTGAGTGTGAGGTAGAAGTTAAAAAAAATGAAGTAACAACACAAAAAAATCATGAAGAACACCACTTTGTTCATCTGGAGAAGTATCCCATTGCTAGGTCTCATTGAGTGTTTTCCTGCCATCTCTCTTCTCACATGGCATTCCTTTTTTTGTTGTTTAATCACGCCAAGGCCTATATTCTGCCACAAGGAATTACACTTGAAAGCATTGTAACAATTATGCATCTCTTTGACTCTTCTGCCCAAGTATTGAGATTTTTAGTTGCATTATTAATTTTAAGACAGATCATCTATGAGACAGCTCCCGAAAATTTCCAACTTCTCTATTTTTACCATAGCAGTAGTGACTTTGAGTTGAAGTAAAATTTAAAAATAATACATTCTCTCTCTTTTTTCTTTCTCTCTTTTCTCTGTCCCTTCCACTCTCTTTCAGATCATTAGTTTATTAAATGTCTTCACACCCCAGAAAACGCTGGAGGAGTTCCAAGATGTGTAAGTAACAAAACTCAAAACTCCTGAAGGAAGAGACAGCACAGCACTCAAACAGCCCAAGGGAAAATCACACACACACACACACACACACACACACACACACACACAGAGAGAGAGAGAGAGAGAGAGAGAGAGAGAGAGAGAGAGAGAGAGAGAGAGAGAGAGAGAGAGAGGAGAGAGAGAGAGGAGAGAGAGAGAGAGAGAGAGAGAGAGAGAGAGAGAGAGAGAGAGAGAGAGACAGAGTTGAGAGAGACAGAGTTGAAATCCTTGTACTGATCAAAAAGAGGTAAGAGGTGGTGGCAAATGAAAGGGGTCCTGTGATAGGTAGAGAAAATTGTGTTCATGGTGTTATTTCCTGGAAAGATATTCTGCCTCCTTTCGGCCTTGTGGCTTTATATACGTAGTTGTTACATGCTCTTGGTCAATCAGGTAAGGCTTATTTATTCATGATTATTAATAGTTTCCATGAACTTTTTACAATGAGTTAATCCACCTGAAGAAACAGTAATAAAAGGGACATGAAAATTATCTTTATTCTTTTGTTTTTTGTAGTGCCCTTGATTCTGTGCAAAGGGTCTAACCAGTAGTGACAACAGATGGAGGAGAGGAAGTGGTTCCCTAGCACCTTGTGTTTAACGCAGATGCATTGAATTTAACGGAAGAGGCTGTCTTGAATTTTTTTCTTATTTGTAATTATAATACTCATGAAAGAGTTGAGGGAATACAAGGGAAAGTGAGAGCACAATTAAGGGAAAAAAATCTATGAGGACGAACCACACACTAATAAATGCTGCTTCTACTAGCAACCTTATGGTATGGTTCCTATAGCTAACACACATGCAATACTTGGAAATTTTGATATTCTTGCTTCTGTCAAAGTCAGAACTAGGAAGTTCAGAAGACGTACAGAGTTAGGAGAGAATTCTGACTAAATCAAAGGACTTCGTCGATCTTGCAATCTGGAACTAACATTGTGGATTTACTCTTCTAGTTACTTAGTAATGGAACTGATGGATGCCAACTTATGTCAAGTGATCCAGATGGAATTAGACCACGAGCGAATGTCTTACCTGCTGTACCAAATGCTGTGTGGCATTAAGCACCTCCACTCTGCTGGAATTATTCACAGGGTAAGAATACCTTCTCTAGGATTACAATGAAAATGCTTTAAGAGAAGAGGAAGAGTAACTGTAGATTATTTTCTTTATACATGGGCATTGGTCAAATATAATACACTTCCTCATTTATTTGATACTAAAATTAGCACCTAGTTCACTAGTTATAGAAGGAAATTCTAGTTATATTGTAGTTGAGTTTGTTCAACGTTATGTTTCGGCTCATTGAGACACAGCTTCTTAGAAGCCTTATGCTTTCAGCTCCTTGATTGGCAGAGGTCATACTTACAACTGAAATAAGCCAATTCATTTCCATAGTTGCTTCTGGTAGGATAAACACAGCTGCCCTGATCTCTTCTGTCAGGCCAGGAAATGATATATAAGTTGATTTATATTGTCCTAAGGAGAAACCTAACAGAAGACAATAAATGATATTACTTTTTCTAAAACCTCTTCCCAAGATTAGTGTAAATTGTGTAAATGATAATACAATTCTTTTCTGGGTTTGAAAAACTTTCTGGGGATTTTTTAAAATAAAAAAACTAATAGTTAACTTATTTGTAGCAGTAAGCATTTGCCTTATCTAGGGCTCTGTAGGCAAGGGGGACCTCATCAATGCTACTGCAAGATGGCTATGTTGATTGAGTCAATGAAAATAACATGTTTCACTTGATGCTGGCTTTTAATTTTTTCCCTTATCCCTATTGTTAGGATTTAAAACCAAGTAACATTGTAGTCAAGTCTGATTGCACATTGAAAATCCTGGACTTTGGACTGGCCAGGACAGCAGGCACAAGCTTCATGATGACTCCGTATGTGGTGACACGTTATTACAGAGCCCCGGAGGTCATCCTGGGGATGGGCTACAAGGAGAACGGTAGGGATGCTTCTGAAGAGCGGCATCAAAATGATAAATAAAACGGGTATACATTTTAGATAGCCAAGGGGAATGTTCTCTTTCACAAACAGACTTTTATAAAGTAGGCTGCCAGATAGCATATTCAGGTTTTTTTTTTTTTTTTTTAAATACTACTGGTAAGAATCATTCATTAAAAACGTGAAGGGTGTTATTGAGAAGTCAGCTTTGCTAGAAAAGCGCTAAATGTTAATAGTGAAAAAGAATTCTAAATGGAGTCTGATTAAAGTCAAGTGGATACTGATTGGCACACATGCCTAGATATTGAGAAAAAATGCTATTTGGGTTGCAGCTCAGCTGAGCATGAGTACGAAAGCAGGAAGGAATCTACCACATTTAGCCATTTGGCTTTTATGTTGTGTCTCAGATTGATGGCTCTAGTTCTAGAAAAAGATAAGCAAAAAAAAAAAAAAAAAAAAAAAAAGCCACAAATCCTTGGAGTAAAAATCTTCACAGACGACTTTGAAATAATCCAAGTTATTCAAATTGAATAAGAATTTCTGTAATACTTTAAGCTGCTCTGTAAGAAATATTTAGAGTAGCAGTTGCCTGTAAATCTTTATATATTCCAAAAATTGTAAAAAAGGAAAATGTCAAATTTGACACTACTGCTTTCTTAAAGCAAATCTAATATTCATGAACACTTTAGAATGAAGGTATGGAAAGAATCTTAAAAATGTGTTACAATTGACTGTTGTTGATTAAAACAAAGGATTTATTAAATACCTGTTAGAAAGCATTGCAATGTATTATTTTGATGAGAATATATCTTACAAGTAATGCACCATATTGAAAAACGTATTCAATATACTTAGGAATTAAAATAGTCTTAAATTAGCATTGTATATGTATTCAATGTACCTTTCATATTTATTTTTATATTCTATTTAGTTTTTAACAGTCTATTTTTATAAATTCTATAAAAATAATCCGAGTATTTTTATGTACAGGTGCTACAGGGTACTTTAATGAAAATTCCCTGGCCACTGAAGTTTACAGAAACTTCTTTGTATACTCTTAGATTAGAAGACAGAGAATGTATGTATGCATTTATATAGAGGAAGTTAAAAAGTCAGCTCTTATGAAGGTCAGGTTCACCCTGGTGGGCAATGTTGGAGTGCTGGTCCCTTTTGACTCAGAAAAGATGAATCTAGCCTTCCTCACAAGGCAATACCACATCTAATTTATTCAGAAAAGAAGACATTTTTATACTTCTTTTGCAAGGTATTTTTAAAAAAGTCAAAGGAGAAACAAAGTCAGGAATCAAGAATGTTCAGGAGACTGGGTTGGGGGAGGGTTCTGAATTTGCCTATTTGGGCTTTTCAGATCTTGGTACTACAGATAGCTGGTATTAAAATCCTTTTCCCTTCCCTCACTAGAAGAAATTGCAAGTTGCTGCCTTAGGTTTTTGATTTCTCTAAGTCCACGGAGAAGGGCTGCCTGGCACCCTGGTGCTGCCCTCCCACCAATGGAAGGAAGGTTATCATGCAGAAAAACCTGCTTGCTCCCACGCCAGGCATGCCCCGCTGTCCCCTGCACCTAGCCCCACCTACCTTCCGCATGGAGCAAGGGTTCCCTTTGTCTATAATACAAAGCAAGTTGGAAGAAGGTAAATATTGATAAGACAAGGCAAAGGCAAAGCATGTTTTCCTAACAAGTTTGATAATTTGGAAATAAATATATGTACATAACAATTTTTAACACCTTTAATACTTTTTTCACGTTCCTTCCAGATGACTCCTTTATACATGTGCTAATTCATCATATGTCTTTTTTCTTGAAATATTTCAAACAGAAACTAAAACTGATGTTTATTTACAAGGAAAAACTTCTGAAGGAAAAGCTAAGTCCCAAATACGAGGGATTCCAATTCTTTTGCCTCTAAACCATAGTTACAGCCATTTCCTGGTTTCTTGGATTTGGTTGAATTTATCTTGTTTTGCCCTCCCCCCCCACCACCACCAAAAAAAAAGGTGGTCTCTTGTTGCCCTATTCTCTGTAACTGAATGAAATAGAAAATGAAAATAGCCACCCCTACAGGTTAATATTGTTATCTCTACATCCAGCAAATGACCCAGAAAACCCTTTGGTGGCTTTTAGCTATCACCTACCTGCCATGGAACTTTTGGTTTAACTATTGCTTTTCCCTGTCACCAATGTCACCACATTGTGGTACTATTGAGAGGCAATGTAAGGCACCCACAGAGTAATGGTTTTTTAAACATTAATTTGAGTTCTTATATTAGACACTGTTTATGTAATAGCATAGTGCTGGTTTTAATTCACCTTTTGGCCAACTTTTGGTGGGAGGTGAAAATTGTACTTTTAATAAAACTGTTCTTTTTCCTCCTCCTTCAGAAGTCAATTATCTTAGTTAACTTTACTTTCCTTCCTTTTCTTCACTACCCTCTCTCTCCTGTTCTAGTGGATATATGGTCTGTGGGATGCATTATGGGAGAAATGGTTCGCCACAAAATCCTCTTTCCAGGAAGGGACTGTATCCTTATACCTTTTGCTACAGCTTTACCTGTTTTGTTCTCTCTCCCTTTTAAAAACATAATGATTTTACCAGGAGAGTAAAGATAGAAGCAAAAAGTTGGGTAAGTGGTGTTATTGTAATGAAAAAAAGTGATGAGTTCTATAATCTGACCAGTACTGAAGACTACCTACCACAATGATTTCTTTAAATTAAATTTCAATGGGCTTTTTTCTTCTAAAATTACTTTCTTGCCTGCAACTAAAACTAGAAATGCTACTTTTCCTTAATAACAGATGCCACCAGATCCCAAATGATTAAAATATATTTGCCTTTATAACTAGCAAAATAAGTCACTATTTGCAAATCATTTTCCATCTCCTTTCTAAAACTATTTTGTACTTCTACAATATTTAGGCATAAAATTTCTCCCCTTGCTGACATTCTAAGCTTCTGACTATGGCTTCGTTATTTAAATTACTCTTGACACTAAATCAAATCTTTAACGGGTCAATATAACATATCCTCCTCAAAATATGCACTTCTGCATTTAAAAACTGTAATTATTGTTCAAGTTGCTGGTGGGCAGGAGAATTTAAAATAGACTTCTCTCACTTGACTTGGAGATGTGATATACACATAGATACTTGTTTTCCCAACTAAATTTATAATTTAATAAAGCAATTTTGATTTAAGTTCTATTGAGTCCTACAATAGAGTCCATCAGAAATTTTCTCTAGAGCTATCTATGATTTGGAAAAACCAAATGAGCTGAAACATTCTTAAATGGCCAAAAGTTCACTCTGTAAAGGTACAGATATGTGTTTACAATATGCAGATAATAAAGTTTACATATAATAGTATAATATACTTTTAAAAATACAAAAATATCTTACTACAAATACTAGTGCAAATCTAAGTACAACCGTAATTGACAATTTTAACAATTATAAGCCAGGATTGAATTTAGTATATTTATTACATATGGATGTTTTGGAAATTGGCACTAACCATGTGACCCATAACTCTATTAACCATTCTATTTGATTGATAAGAAAGTTTATTAAGGAATCCTTTTATTATTTAAGAAACATTATGATTTTTATTATTTAAAAAGTCAAATACAAAAAAACAAAACAAAACAAAAAGTTGACTCAAGAAGAAGTGGATACCGTAATAAGCTTGTATTTTGGTAGACATTTATTCATTCTGCTGGTTGTTAATGAGATAGTCTCTAAATTCCACTAGTAATGTAAGAGCTATGACATATTCTAGAACCGCACTGTCTAGTAGGTAGTCACTAGCCACATGTGGGTATTCAGTACTTGAAATTATAGCTAGTTGAAATTGAAAATGTGTTTTGTTGTTAAATGCATAGCAGATTTTGAATATATTTCTAAAAGTATGTTAAATATATGATTAATAATCATATAGATTGTGTTAAAGTGATAGCATTATAAATATATTGGGTTAAATATATGTTATTAAAATTAAACTCAGCTGTTTCATTCTTTTTAATATGGACATTAGACTTAAAACTACGAATATGATTGGCATTTGTGATTGTCATTTTTCTGTTAGACAGTGCTGCTCTAGAACATGAGAAAACTACATGGCAACTATTTATTTATAACCAATCTTAAAGTCTTGAATCTCTGTTTGCTCCATGTTCCTTTCCTATCTATAGTGTGAAGTCTCATTTTCCTCATCAAATTTGATATGGCTACTTAGGAAAATTCATTTCACTTTAACTTACATATCTATGGTTTGGGGATCAATTATATACCTACCATAGTTTATTTGAACAATGTTATAATGCACATTCATATTTAAATGTGCTGACTTTATTCAAAAGTAGGAATTATTTTCTTTTTGCTTTTGCCTTTGGTGTACAGTACATTTAGATGAAAAAGGAACCTCTCAATACTCAGGGTGAAGTTGCACAGCCACATCTCTGCAATGCACGTCAGTGGAAAGCAAAAAGCCACAGACTTTCTCATTTCCATGTGACTTTTTGTTACATGTCACTTGATTTCATGTAGCGAGGTTGTTCTCTGAGTTCTTATTTTGCTCTTCAGGCATTTATGAGGATTGCTTTTCTTCTATTTTGACAGTTTAAATTTAAAAGCCAATAAAATGAGAAAAAAGCGAAAAGTTTTAATCTAATCCTTCAGAAAAGCAAGCAAACAAACAAATAAAATAGCACCATGTTGGATAATTCTATTTTCTATTAAAAATTGTTCTGTTGGAAGCCCCCACTTTTTTATCCTAGTTTTGGAAACATTTTTTAGAGCTGAAATTAAATTGTGTGAAAATAAATGCATAACATTTATATCCTTGATATGTATGAACCTAAACATTTAAATAATCTTTAATACAAATAATACAGACTATAATAAAGGTTTACAATCTGTATTTCTTTATCTCAAGTGATTATTACATAGTATAGCAGCCTTTGATAGCCTAGTGCCATATGTGATAATCACCCTGCAAGTGGACCTAAAAGTTAAAAAAAATTACATAAAGACATCTACAGTGGAAAGCCTTTGGCTTAAGTTAAATTTTAGAAATATGAGTAAATATTTTCCAATGAAATAGGTTAGATAAAAGTTTCCTTTTTGAAAATGTCTTCATTTGAATTTAAGTTCTTAGTTCATTTTACCTATAATTAAAATTATGACTTAATTTTTATATTAAATTTAAAAAATAAGCAAACCTATAGGAATCTCTATTAAACAACTTTGAGTGGAATTGTTTTATTAATATTTAAATGAAATTAATATCATTTTATGCACAGGGCTTTCTACCAACAATTGAGCAGTCAGATAACCTCCCAAACTATGACTATGAGACACAAGGCTGAGGGCCGATTCAGGGTATTTATGGGCAGAAGAATTACACAATTTTAAGCATATTGAAATGAGTCTAACATTTATTGGAAGTAATATCAAAGCTAAGAATATGCTAATTGATACCTTGACTACTTCCAAGATTCTGCAGAAATGTTAAAAAACAATCAGAGGTTCACATGACTTTCACCTAGAATTATTCAGAGTAATTTATACTAAATTACTTTGAGGCTGAAAAATGATATGGTAATACTATCATCATAATCAGCATTTTTCTTCTCTCTTCACGGAACTTTTAAACTTGAACCCCAAGCAAAAATAATAAAATGTCTTGACAAATCAGAGAATCTTATGAAATTGTCATTGATGACTGAAGTTTAACTACTTTCCCGCATTTCCCCTATCTTTGCATTTTGAGGAACACTGTGAGGGTTTCTTGGTGGTTAATAGGCTCTAGATGATATCACAGGGAATTGTCTTGGCTACTAAATTAGAATGTTGGCAAAGTAAACAAAATTGAACAAAATAAACAATACATATTTGCTTTTCAACCTATTAGTTTGCTAAGTAATATCCAAAGGATCACTTAACACTTATTTTTCTTGTATAAAGTGTTTTTTATTATACATATACTATCATACACTTAATTTTCACTTTAGTTTTATGATTAAAACATTTCATAGCATATATTTTGACATAATGTAGTTTATATATATAATATTATAATGTACATTCATATTTAAATGTATTACTAAATATTCTTATCTAAGCATTCTTAAACCCATGCTGACTTTCAAGTTAGAGAGTAGTAAACATGCCAAGTCCATTATTTTCTTTATGTAGTCCAAAGAACAGATAAATCAGCAGCTTTAGCTTCACTCAGATTTTGTTCCTTTCAGTAAAATTTACAGGAAAGCAGTTTTACAATGCTTCCTTAGAAGTTTTTTTCTAAGAACTATCCAGTCACTCACTGCCTTCACCCACCCCAAACCCCAACGAGGGCATGCCATCTTCTTGATTATCAAAGGCTCCTGTAGTCCCAGTATACTTCTCATGAGTCCTTTCCTCAAACTTTCTTTTAGATGCATTTTTCAACCTTATTTTTTCCATTCTACTTCAAATGGTAGCACCTTCTTTGAGCAAACCCTGTGATGTTCCTTTATCTAAGTTCTTGGCCAATATTCTCTGGATATGGTAAAGTTAAAAACAGGCACACCACACTTATTTGAAAATTCTAAACCTCAAGTATATTATATCCAAAGCTAACAGCTGGACTGCTAAAATAGCTCCTCTAGCCTCTTCCTCTGAAGTACAAGAAATTGCAATTAGGATGAATGGGATATACATATAACCTTGCCAGGGAGCCAAGTTATTAAGGAACAGGTAAATGGTTTTTCAAAAGTATATTTGAAGAAATAAAGAAAACACCCTCAAATTAACTGAATGCTATATCTTTCTTAGTTTAAATATGAACATTAGGAAGGATCAAAGTAAAATGAACAAAAATTTATGGTTACAGATTGTTATATCCATCTAGCACAGAGATATTTTTAAACTCTTCTTACCTCTTTGAAATAACAGTGCTTAATTCCTAATAAACTTTTGCAACTAATAACTTACTATATAGTCTAACCCTGTTTCGTGCCATTAAGATAATACAGGGTTATTTAAAACAATATAAAATGTATGGCTTTATATAAAGTTAGGATGAGAAAGTATAATAAATATTTTTTCACATCTATAAGCAAATTGCACATAATTTTATATATATTTAAAATAAAATAATTTATTATTTGAATGTATTTAAAAGAATACATTTATTTTAAATAATACATGTTTACCACTAGTTTGCCTGCTACTCTTCTCTTTTATTATTATTTTATGAAAATGTGAGACAGGAATCACCAGAATGGGAGCTGGAGATTCTGAGGTTGTAAAGAAATAAAAGCAAGTTTATAATAGGTAGACTTAAGGAGAAAGTCTTTTTCTGATTTCCTGGCATTACAATATTTAGCATTAAGTTTGTGAATTGTTGCTTATTTTCCTTACTTAGATTCACATGAGCAAAATATGTACATTCTTAGTTTATTTATGTATGTCAGTATCCTTAGAATTCTATTTTTGAACTGAAGTTTAATACAAGGTCCTTTTGTTAAATAACTAGATGTATAA